TAGAATCTAAATAATATATCCAAATCAGTATTTTAGCCCCTGATAAAATGACTGTTTGTCCTTCGAATGTGCATCATTATATCACTTGGTTTATGCCCTTGTGATATAATTCCTCACATCCAAACTCCAAACAGTGATTTTATTTAGCTTGGGACATTTTATTTCTTAAATAATGGAAACACATTATTTAAAGTTTAAAACATGTATAAACTAACAACACTTTCTCCAGCTTTTTTTTTTTCATCGATTCCAATAAAATTAACTTTAATGTTAATAACAAATATCATTGCGGAAGAAAAGAATTGTAATAATCTTACATTAAAAGGCATAAAGCTATATATAAAGAATTTGTTTATGGAATTTAAAAACAGTAAAATTATGTTGTTCCCATTAAATTATGGTCAATTACTGAAAGAGTTGTTACATAGAATGTTTTAAATATTTAACATGTATGAGTATTGTACTAAACAGATGAAAATGTTCTGGAACTAACTATTATGCTGCTATTTTAAGTCAAATTTCAACGCAAAATTTCGTGCACGTGTCATTTGCTCATATGGAGCTATATGAACATTTTTTTATCTAACATGTTTTTATGGAATTATTCTTTTTTTAAAATTCAAACAAAAATTTAGTAAACTACACACAGCAAAGATATATCTTTTAACACTTAAAAATGAATGTTTAAAAGAAATCATTACGATTTTTTTTTTAAGTTTAAATGAAATTGACAAGTCATATCATTTAGCAAAGTATTAAAATACACAAGACACCAAAATTTCTATTTTGGATTTGCAACAAATCTGTGCAAAGAACACAATACATTATGGCATCAGCATGAAAACATTTAGTTGCACACAGGGTGATTTAAAATCATTATGCAGGATTATTAACTCAAATAATTGTTTTCTAAATCGAATACTTTGTTGATAATGGCTTTCACCTGAAAGTGATTGTGTGTGATGTATTATGTCAACAACAGGAACAATCTCATCAATATTTTAATGAAAATATTTCAAACACGATTCACAAAAAACCAGACTTTCACTGTCAGATTAGTGTTGCCAGCTTTCTTTTAAAATTCAGAGTTCGTAATTTTCTATTTTCTGATGAAAAGATTTGAATTTATTTCACAGGGGATATTTACAAGTCTGATATTCATCATGTACAATAAATTTTGTTTCAGTATACGGTGCAAGTGAAAATTTTTATTTTGTTTTAAAATATATATACAGTATATATTTTTTGTTCAGCTTGTTTAGCAGTCATAATGTATATTTAGTACAGCAAATATTTGGAATTAATGATGCACTAATTGATATAGGCTAGCAACTTTCTGGCTTTACTGGTGGCGGAAGACCTGAGGTGCTCCTCTGGGCATTATTTCAAGCATAAACCCACATCTGAGTAGAACCACTGACATTTCAGAAGCTTCCTGGAATGAAATAATCTGAAGATGCTTGCTTGGCTCAAACCTAAATGGGTGAGAGGCAAGTGGTTTGAAGTCAACAACCTTCACAAATTCACCACAGACCCTAAATATGATATAAATGATATACTATTAGTTATAAAGGATGCTGACAGGATAAACTGGAGAGTATAGCCTGAATATGATAAATATAACCTGAGGAGCAAAGCTATATTCTCCCATATATCACATTTAGAGAAAAGAATAGCAAAACTAAAATTAAATCTTTCATTGTGTTACGCTTTTATTGAGTGTAATAAACGTTTATTTATATTGTTGATACTGCATGTTGGTCAATATCTAGCATTGATCGATACAGCATGTGACTAATACACAGTAAGCTTTATCATACAGCATATCAATTTATCATGAAAATACTTTATTTTCACCTTGACAATATGTTTACTATATATATAAAACATTTTTAATTTACAGAACATAATTTCCATAAAGACATGGTTCTTTAAATGAAGCAAACCACAAAAATAAAACAGCTTATCTTTATAACTGTTATTTTTATTTCTAATTTATTCTTGTTGTTTTAAGTTGTCATTTCATACTGCATTCTAAATCATTTCTCGTCTCGGAAATTTTACATTTCATTTTCAAAAACAGAATTGATTTCATCGTGCAAATGACAACATTCAGGGAAATGAAACAGATGTAATCAGAATTAGTAAATTGAAAATATTCCAACTGAAGACTTGATTCTTCTTTACTACATTAGAGACCTGACTGCAAAACATTTTTCAATTTTTGTGTGAAAAAAAGAATTATAAAACATGTCTGCATATCTGGTTCACTTGTTTCATAATTTTCGTAACAAGAGATTTTTTAAGTCTACATTTATATTCTTTTTTTCAAATTGATTTATGATTTTTATAACATTCATTTTCCTAAATTGAGATTTTTTAACAATAAAAGTCTACATGTACATTGTACAAATATGGATTTAAACAGATAAACTGCTGAATGTTTATATAAAGAATGTGCCATATTTGGCCACTATCATTAGATCAGTTACTGTATAATCAAAGATCAAAAACCAATTTCAAGTGTTAAAAGCTATGTCTCTGCTGCCTATAGTTTACACAATCATTGTTTGAAATTCGAAATAGAATAATTCCAAATTATCTGTACGAAAGAAATATGTTTGTACATTTCCTTAAGAGCAAATAGCATATACATTTAATTAGTTTAAACATATTTATTTAAGCTCGATAGAGAAACAAGTTTTTGCAACTTATTCCTTGAACCAACTAGTACTAATGTCATTATGAAGAAACATGATTGTGACCCAATTAGGGCTCAAACCCTTGATCCCTGGGTTGAAAGACTGACACCTTAACCATTAGGCCATGCATGAAATCATTGCTTAAAGATTAAAACCCTACTTAAAACAGCAGTAAAATATTCTATTCAACATTTTATTCTGTTTACACAAAAAATTTATTCTTGTTAGATAGCATAGACATGTCACAACTCCTTCATCAAGACTTTATCAAATTTTATAAAAAATATTTTGAGTTATAGCTTTAAGCAAATTAAGTGTTGAAAACTGAACACCATTTAAGTCTGTGCTAGGGCCTGTGAGAGATGCTGAACTTTTCCATTACTAATTCATTAAATTTAATTATTAAATTATTTTATTATTAAATTTACCACAAACACAGGCTCTCAATGATTCATTTACTATTTCTATCTCAGTCACTTACGATAGTCACCTCTTACCAGTTGTTAAATATATTCTATAAGAAACTGATAAAAGTACTGAATGTTTTTGTTTTCCTCTCCCTTCTAATATAATATTAGGCATTTATTTTCTTCATTTATTAACGTTTTAAGAGGGGTAGCAGACAATAAATTTTAATATTTTGTTAAACATACTGCTATGTTTCCTTATAAGCAATTTGTTTTGTTTGTTTGTTTGGGTTTTACGTCACATCGACACAGTATAGGTCATATCAAGACGTTCCAGCTTTACTGGTGGAGGAAGACCTCAGGTGCCCTTCTGTGCATTATTTCAGGCACGAATGGGCACCTGAGTAGAACCACCGACGTTCCGTAAGCTAGCTGGATAGCTACTTCACTTGAAAGAATCCAAAGTCCCTGTCGGGATTCCAACCCACAGCAGTGAGGGGCAAGTGGTTTGAAGTCAACGACCTTAACCACTCGGCCACGGACGCCCTTATAAGCAATGACAAATGATAAAATTCAGGTATTGTGAATGTTTCTGGTCAATATTAGAGTTGAGGAGTAGACACATTCTGGAAGGACCCAGCTCTAATGCATGTTAACCAGGTATTTAAGACTAGTGATTCTAAACTCAGAGACCCACCAACCCTAATCTCGGACCAAAACAAATATAAGATCAACTTAATCAATAAATAACAGTACAATATGAAGAATTCTCTATTTTTGAGAACCAATTTGTATTTAGGAACAATTCCTTTCTTTTTACATCATTGAAGTTTCCATTTGTTTCAAAATATATTTTTGCGACAGAAAATTCAATTGTCTAATGTTAATTTATATTATAAAATGTCACATTCAACAGAATTGTTTTTAATATTTCCATCTTATTATCACCACAGTAAACTTGTTTGTTTAATAGCATAGACTGATGTTGTAGCGACAATAAAGTCAGATTTAATGAAACAGCTTTTGTTAACACTGCAAAAAACTTGAATTGAAGCTGATCAGTGAAGAGTCTAAGAAATATTTTGAACAATTCAATTTATCCTTTCAAGTTGACCTTACATGTAGTACTGATCAAAATCAAACAACTTAATACATGTATAAACATAATGTTACTAGACTGTTTATTTTTTGCAATTAAATTAGATTGTGGAGTACTGTTTGTTACATACATGTTCATCACTTTATATTTTCATATTTGATCAGAGACTGCATGATGTTTGATGATAAATGCCACTCTAACACAACATTTTCAAGTTATTAAAGCTAATTGAATGTACTGGTACTCTTAACAGAACATGTTCTTCTGTGAATCAATCTAGTAATCAAGTTTTCCAGAAGATAAATCATGAACCAAACACTCAACAAAACTGTCGACGCTTTTGATACTGATAAAAAAGTTTATTTTAGATTTCTTGTTGCAGTAAATCAAATTTGGAAAATGAGATTAGTTAATGCATTCATCATAAGATCATGAAAACTTTACATATTTTGTCACTTAGTATGTCTGTAAATTAAAAAATGTCCTCTCAAATCAGTTCTTATCATCCAATATCAAGTCTTTGCACCTAAATATACTGCATTTACACCTAGCTTATGTCTTTTATTATCAAACTTTTTGTTTGTTTTTTTTCCCCAACAGTACAGCAGCAAATTGTCACCACAGAATTGATGTTGTTTTAATTGAGTTTAACGAACCCAACATTTCTGGTGAATGTTTCCCACAGTGACAACACGCAACAATCTTTACCAGTGCACTGAAGTCATTACAATTCTTATACATGTATAATAAATCTGTGAAACTTTGTTACAATTTGGACTTTTATGTTCTCACCTTGTTTCTCCTTCTTGACAGGCACATTCTCAGAATCAACATATCTTAAAACTGAAAACAACAAGGTACAAAGTTGAGCAAAAGAACAAGTGAAATAAATGAACATTTTCTGTCATTTATGTATATTTGTTAAAACTGTCTGTCAGATGCTGCAATCTTTAAAAGCTTTCTTGTTTAACTGTCTGATGGTTATCTGTAATGTATATTTTATGGATTATGTTGTCCATTGATTATTTTGATATTTACCACTAATTCCATCATCTGTGAATTTATAGAACAAAAAGACAAAATCCTGACTTTCATGAAGTACATGTCAACTTTACTGTCTGATTGGTGAAACACCTCCAACTAGAGTGTTTCAGGTATGCATAATTATCATGGCAGAACCTCATGTGCCCTGCCATTCATTATTTCAAGCATGAACTGAGTAGAACCACCGAAGTTCCGCAAGCCAGCTGAATAGCTTCCTCACATGAAAAAATCCAAAGTCCCTGTCAGGATTCGAGCCCACAGTGGTGAGGGGCAAATGGTTTGAAGTCAAGGACCATAACCATTCGGCCACTGTTAGTGGTGTACTTGCCTATTCCACTTAAAATTAACATAAAATAGCCAAAATATTGGCCTGAAATGGAATAAGCATTCTTAATGAAAAAAGTTGTAAAATACACATACCTTTTACCTTGACCATAACTTACATCATCCTCCATCCTCAAAGGTATTTTATGTTGTTTCATCAGACAAAAATATAGTAAAATATCCATCCTTTCTGCTTTTAATGTATGATTATATCATTTTAATTGAAGAATCATAAGCAACCATACTTCTAACGTTTAGTACTTGCTCACTTCATGGAGATATCTCAGAGGAGGAAAATATATAATACTAGTCTGGGGGAAAATGCACGTTCAGGATGATACATGCTTTTTTATTACCAAGTTTAGAACAATTCATTTATTTATTCAATGGTTTAATTGTTTTAAGATACAATTACAGATTATTTTAGAAATAAGACTTATGATGGTTAAGCTTTCTGTCTGAGATATATGGGTACAATCACAGTTAACAGCCTGGTACCAGTATATAATAAATTCTAATCTATATTGGTCACCACAAAAACCTGTCTACAAGCTAATTTCCTCCTTTCTGGGGAAGCCTGATGCAAACAAATATTTTCTGAACATATAATAAATCTTAAACATCAAAGTATAGTGTAATAAATATTGTATCTAATAAGTTTATATTAATATTCTAAGATAATCTTATACAAAGAGAAATTCCATACTTTAATTCAGATTAAATGTTATATTGGTCACCACAAAAACCTGTCTACAAGCTAATTTCCTCCTTTCTGGGGAAGCCTGATGCAAACAAATATTTTCTGAACATATAATAAATCTTAAACATCAAAGTGTAGTGTAATAAATATTGTATTTGATGTCACTTCAATTTAAAAGCAATATAAGAATTATATTTGATGAAGTAATGTTGTACAAACAATCTTGTTTGAAATTGGATTTCTATATCAATACATTACCATGTTTATATACATTGGACTTCAGACAGTATTTTAATTACATGTAGTAATTTTCACATACATGTATATGAATTTTAATAAAACACACATAAAATTGCAAAATTTAATTTTCACCAGAAGTGGCAGTTAAAACTTTAAATACTAGACTCAAGGGTATAAAATTTACATGCGGTCTCACATTAAAAGGTAATTGTTTGACATGAACACCCTAAGTGGCAAGTTTTCTTAATGTTGTCTTTAATTGGTGATAATTTTTAACATAGATTCAACTATAATAGACAGATAGATTATGTATGTTAAAGTTTCAGACAGATTAACCTTGACATTAAGTAAAGGACGTATTTCTGCACTATTGTTTGTACAGAATAAACATCATACTATGATATATCATATACAGACTGTTTCTGACCATCTCTCAACATTACTCTTATGTGTTTCTGAGCACAAACAAATTGTTCCCATATATATCTACAACTTGTATAATATTGCTATGATCATAACTAGAGCTATGACACTGAAATATGAACAACATAAATGAAATATGATGACACACATGGAGATAAGAAGAGGAAAGTATAAGTAAAGCGTGGAGAAATAATACATACAGCGTTCTGATGTATGAGGATATCTAGGGCTTCTCTCCATGGAGTACCAGATACAAACTCTTTCTGAAAAAAGTACAATGAAAACTGTCAAGCAAACAATCATTCTAGATGGTCAGGTCATGCTATATCAAACTGTCTCTCATAGATCAGAAATAAATGGAAATTGTATTTGTGTCACATAACTTGGTCAAAACACTGGAATAAATATCTTATCTGGTCGTTAAAGAAATACATTTTGCAAAAATTAGCAAAAAGTTCACTTTTTATTTCCAATGTCAGATTTGCCATCATTCTCAAACTGAAATATATGACAATTTTCTTGATGAATTATTACTAGCATATTATTATAACATTCAGATAATTCTGGTTTGTAACTTGCTAAATGGAAATTCATACTTAGCTTTAAGTTTGACACAATTTTCAATACATTCATAAGTACATTTTGAGGGTTGACTGCAAAACTGCAGTATCTTATATGAAATAAAGAAGGACGTACAACAGTTTTGCGATCAACCCTTGATTCTTATAAACATATCACTGTAAGTAGAGATAGAACCATTAATAAAACAGAATGTTGAAATATGTAAAGGAATTAAAACATCAATTATCAATGTTTTTATAATTGGAAAACAACAAAAATTTGACTGTGTTACAGTGATACCAAAAATAATTATGCCATTAGCTATTGTAATAGAAACATTTTTGTCTCAAGCAATTTTGTTAGTTCATAATAACTCAATTGAAACATCATTAATTTGAAGCCTTTTGTTTTAAGAGAAAAATTTTCTAAATGAAAAATCAAGTAACCCCATTAGGATGGGGCCTATTTGACTTGACCATGGTCAAGGTCATGATTTATGCTAGAGGTTTGCCTGCTATACAAAGCTATATACACAAGAACCGGTTGAACCGGGTGATGCTCCCCGAGAAGTTTCTGGACACAGGAAAGTATAAAAAAAATGAACAAAGGGCAAAAACTCCAAAATTAGGCAAGGCGGAGTTATGTTTTTTTGCACTGCACTTCTATTCAATGAGATCTATCTATCTATAAAATTCAAAGTGTAAAAATGAACAAAAGGCAATAACTCCAAAATTAGACCAGGCTTTGTTTAGGTTCTTTAAGCACTGCAGTTCTATCCAATTATATCTAGCTACCTACAAAGTTTTATATTGATATCTCTAATAGTTTTAAAGTTATGTCCCAAACAAAAGTCAAAAAGTAAAAATAAACAAAGGGCAATAACTTCAAAATAAGGCAAGGCAGAGTAATGATTCTTAAGCACTGCACTTCCACCCAATGAGACCTATCTATCTACAAAGTTTCATGTTGATATCTCTTATAATTTTAGAGTAATGTCCCGGACAAAGTTCAAAGTGTCAAAATGAACAAAGGGCAATAACTCCAAAAGTAGGCAAGACAGTGTTACAGTTCTTTTGCACTGCAAACCTACTTAATGAGATCTATCTACCTACAAAGTTTCATGTTGATACCTCTTATAGTTTTTTAGAGTTATGTCCTGGACAAAGTTCAAAGTGTTCAATAAACAAAGGGGGATAATTCAAAAATTAGGCAAGGCAGAGTTACGGTTCTTGTGCACTGCACTCCTACTCAATGAGATCTATCTACCTACAAAGTTTCATGTTGATACCTCTTATACTTTTAGAGTTATGTCCCGGACAAAGTTCAAAGTGTAAAAATAAACAAAGGGGAATAATTCAAAAATTAGGCAAGGCAGAGTTACGGTTCTTGTGCACTGCACACCTACTCAATGAGATCTATCTACCTACAAAGTTTCATGTTGATACCTCTTGTTGTTTCAAAGTTATGTCCCGGACAAGAAAAGGGGACGGACGGACGGAAAGACTCACAAGGCGCCGACTATATGCTCCCCCGAAATTTTTCGGGAGCATAAAAATATCTAACCTCTAGGCCTTGCACTTATAGCGAAGATGTTTCTAAGATTTTACCATATGCCTATCCAGTCTCCTAGGGAAACAACAATTTTACAGAGGTTTACTAATCAATGCAGCACTACAGATATTTAAGCTCTAGGACTTACCGTTTTAGAAAAAGATTTTCAAAGGATTCTTCTATATGAGTCAATGAAAAGTCAGTTGATCCAAGTGCAGGGTCTATTTTGACCCCAGTGCTATATTTTGAACACACCTTGTAGAGATTTATTTTTGAAGACGCTCCACACCAAATATAAAAGTTCACATCTAAACCTTCCAGAGAACAAGATTTTTAAAGAATGCACTTTTAAAATATATTTCGTAACAACTTTGGTAGAGCATCATGACTGTCAGGATCATCCAAAGCAAGTTTATCAAATTTGGCCTTGTGATTTTAGAGGAGATGTCATTTGAAAATTATTTGGAGAATGTAATAAATGGAAACAGATAGCTAGCCAATGACCCTAAAAGCTAAGTACGAGCACTATGTATCAGAATAGAGTATTAAAAAGTCATATTTAAAGCACTGCCTCACCCAACCTATACTAACGATATTATTGATGTCATTCCTGGGAGTTAACAAGTCATGTACAATACTCATCTTGATGTTGATTACTACTCACTTTAAGGTCATAACATCTCACTCCAATTTCTCCATGACTGTCTATGGCACTGTAAACTTTCTTGTACAACTTAAGATCTTCTTCAGAAGCACCCTGGTCTTTAATACTGGCCCATACTTGCTGTATGTCAATCTGAAAAAAAATAACAAGTATTTTGTTGAGATTTATACATGAGAACAGTCTAATTTAGATTTGTAGGAGAACAGTAACGTTTACATTGATCAATATTTGAAAACTGTCAATCACATCTCTATAATGACAAAACTATACGGCTGGCATGTAAGTCTCCTGAACAAAGGCAGTTTTTTTTCATACAACTTCTTGATAATTACCTACATTCCTTGAACACTGATATCCTGTTCAATAGATGCATGAAAAGGACAACATCTGAATGAAAGTTCAGTAATAGGTAAACAAAAATTCATTTTAAAACACCTTTGACACCATGTTGTTGTTGTTGTTGAAAACCTGACTTTGTTAAGATTGGTGCTTCCAGCCTTTGTTAGCATTTGCAGAAATACTGCTTTAAGAGACCCTCACAAGGGTTCTGCAACAATATCACATGTGGGCAGATTAGCCGACAGTACACTGAAAACTTTCTTTAATATCAGAATTTTGTCCTATTTAAAACAATAGTAAATAAATTAATTGCTTTAACATGTAATATGTCATGCATGCATACCAAGTTATGAAATTTAAGTATTACAAGTTTCAATTATTTGACGATGACAGTCAACTTGTGTCCAAGTATGAAGGCAATCCATTGAGTAAAATTAAGACCAACGTTAAAGTTTCCAGATGACAATGACATCATCAATGACAACATGACTGTACAATAGCTCTTTTTTTTTCATTGAAAAAGTCAAGCTAATTTATTATAAAATAACTGATTTGCATGCCTGTAAATTGTGAAATTATGGTTTATTAATAAACACATGGAATATCTGAAACACAGAAATGTGAAAGTATCAAAGAAATTGTAAAAATCTTTGGAGGAAAGTGCACCTTATATATATTATTGCACAAACATTGACAACAAATTCAACTGAAATCAACAAATTCAAATGCCATTCCAAAATGTGCAGAAGATCATGCTCCCATAATCACTGCTTGTAATTAAAAAATATTACATTATGCAATAATTCCCTGTTCACCTAAATGAGTGAATAATCTAAACTACAATTTATAATTCCTTATAGCAATCATCATCAAATTTCTGCTTCAACTCACATTCATTAATTTCAGGAGTAATGTCCCTTTGGGATGATACAAAAAACCTTACAGTCAACAAAAGTATTTATGTATTCATGAAATATCAAACATATAAAATATTGATTTTTCTGATCATAATTTTGAGCTCAATGGGCTATAATGCAATGAAGCACTCACCACAATTATAAAATTATGTTCAATGTAATATGTTCCTAAGTTTTAAATGATAAAGAAAAACAGGTAAACCAATGCCTACCCTGATTAAGATGGTCTGCCTTGCTTTTTTTAAAGTGGAGCTTAATACAAATGTACAGTAATTCCCAAATCAGTTTTGGTGACGGTATTATGTTTCATAGCAATGTTGAATGTGTTAAACACCATCAACCATAATAATATTTTTCAAAAAGTCAAGATAAAAATAGTGATCAACAAGAAGGTAATCAACAGTTTAAGTTGAAGCACTGATGTTAACAGTGTTTCTTAAATGTTCACATGTTTCAGTTTTTCTTGTGATGCTGTCTATAGTATAACTCTGTAAAGTATCATGTGTCAAACACTGCTTCAATACCCAAGTTATTCCTCTATAATATGATGCACAGACCTACATTTATGTCAATATATTCAAAAAGACAGTGCAGTCAAATTGTAAATAAAAATTATATTTATCTATCACCATGACAATAAAATGTCCGAATATCATTTTTCTAATATTGTATGATAAAACATATGACTGCCATTTGAAATTATACTTTAAATATAAACTTGACAGTTTGAGAGGTTAGAAAAATTGTAATTTACTTCTTTTTTAGCAGTTTTAAACTTATTCGGAAAAGCCAAAAGAATTGTTATGTATAATGATGTAGAGTAATGTTACCAATGTAAGTAACTCTTAAACAGTAATTTTGAGGTTAACCTAGTATTTTTTTACATCTATTTCTAATCATTGTACAATAGATTTGATTTCCAAATTACAAAAATAAAACCAACATGTTTTTATGTCTTGACAAAACAAATAACCAATCAAAAAGGGGAGCGGTGCCCTAGTGGTTACGGTGTCTATCTCTCAACCCAGAGATCATGGGGTCAAGCCCTACTCGGGTCACAACCATGTGCCTTCGTATGATACCAGTACTGGTTTGTTCCAGGAAGCAAACTCAAAATTAATTAGTTTAAGTTGCAAGAACTTGTTTAGCAATCGAGATTAAATAAATACATGTATGTTTAAACCATTCCAAAACTCTGTTATAACAACCAACAGCAAAGAACCAGACTCAACAGAAAACTGAAGAAATTTATCAAGAAAATAGGAATTAAGCAGTTATGCAAAATTGCAAATTATTTCTGACATGTGAGAAACTAAACAATAAATGCTGTATTTTATGGCTGTTTGCTGTATTTTACAAGTGCTACTAAATTTAATGACATAAAACATGGCCAGCCTCTCAAATATAATCTCTCTTGAAATTCTTAGAAACAAAGAGGACGCTGAATGCCCAATATCACTCACCTGAGATACAGAAAATGCTGCAATTCTTCAAAGCAGATGTAATTAATCAGGGCATATTTGGTGTGCCATTTTAAACCTTTTTTTAAATTTTGGACATTTGGTTTTACGCACGAATATCTTCATAACACAATGAAGTAAACAACCTAAACTGTATTTACCAACTTTGACATTCCATGCCTAAATGAATAGTAAAAATGTGAAAATGCCTATATCTTATACGTGTTCAAGTGGTGAAGTTTAATGCACATATATATTTATTTTTACACAAGACCTCTGATGCATCTGTCAAGCTTGAAAACTTGCATCTGAACTCAGTACTGTAAAAAGCCATTTTCATAAGCAATGGTCTTTTAAGTTGCATCATTAAAGCTTATTTCTTATTAAAATAAATGCCAACTAACACATCAATTTTTACTAAATAGAAAATTAGGTCAGTGTTATAATCAGAACTAAAATTGTTTTTGTATTGGGAAGTAGAAAATAAAAACTAAAAACAATATCACGAAAACACAAAGTTAGACTTTGTCTTAAATGTAAACCATGGCATTTAAATCAAGATGATTAATGTTTGTATCATTTATTTCTGTTTATTGTGTTAAAATACTTCATCATCATTTTGATATTAAAGATGTCAAGAAAAATGAAGCACCACTTCTAATAAACTTACCTAAGTCATAGAAAGTTGTCTTATATTCTCTTAAATGATCAAAAGAAAAACAGAAATAATTGATTTCTAAATACGCTTCTTTTTAAAGTGCCTCTCAAGAAGATAAAAACACCCACTATGTCACCATTAAGTTACAACAACTGACAACACCAAAGGCAATTTATAAATCTAAATACTAGATGACTTGGAAAAAAAACAACAACCCATCTTGTCTTATATTAACTGATAGTGCTTAAAGTATTAATTTCTTAGATGATTACTTTTTATAGTCAAGTAAACATCCAAATGACACAGCCATAGATAAAGTAACAAACACAAGATGGAAATAATGGCCAAAGGTCATTCTCCAAAATAATCATGTAATTTTAGAAAGTGACAAAATCTGAGGAAAGACCATCTTAGCTATATGATACATTAACTAACAATTTATTTATAATCTGTTTCTAATTTTGAAAAATCAGGATTCATCTGTGCATTAAAGTATGTTACAAAAGATCAAAAGGCATTAAAATGTAGGAATGTCAAGGTGGTCTTATATAGATCCCTCATCTAAGATCTATATGCGAGGGCCATTTTTCGATTCCATCCACACGACAGGAGTTATAAAACTTATATAGATCCACCAGAAATTGCTCTCTCTTTTCCTTTCAGACAGTGATTTCCCATGAAAGTCTATGTAAACAATTAATGCTGCTAATGGAGAATAATGACTTATTTTTTACAGAATGCAACATGCCAAATATTTTATGGGGCTGTCACTCCATGACGTTCTGGTCAACTTTCAACATTTCAATCCTTCAATTTTCTAGCATTCTAGAATGAAAATGACAGTTCTTGATTATCGTGTGGTAACTTTAGTCACACTCTATGTGTGCAAGGAGACTGTTCAGCAGTTGTCACCAGTGAGTCTTTCACTGCAAAGCAAACTTTAAGCATTAGTGTAACGACTCACTAACATTAGTGAAATGTCCCATAAACATTCTTAACTCCCGTGTTAAAAATTTAACATTGATTAATGCTGGATTCAGTGAGAACTTTTGTGCACATTTAAAAAAATTTCCTGATCAACGTTTCCCTTCTGTCACAATCCCAGCAATCATGGGTGACTAGCACTAACTACCAAAGTTTTCTCAAACGTCATAGAACGCTGACCAGAACGTCATGGTGTGACAGCCCCATAAGCTCATGGTATTGAAATTTTTGAGGAAGAGGTTTTTATTAAGAGTTAGTTTCCTATATAAGTCAATTCCCAGTGTAGGTTCAACTAAGGGTCTTGTTTTCAGCAAACTTCAAATAAATTCATTAATAAACAAATCCTGGGTTTCAGCAACATAGAAATTTTAGGTTTCGTACATTATCTGCATGGCACATTGCTGGGAGGATTACTGAAATTTTAGACAGGTGAAGCAAAAAACATACACACTAATTGAATCTGTAGACTATGCATTCTGTATTTGCTTCAATCAATTTCCTTCAATATCACCATTAATGAATCCAAATGTCAATCATCTATATTTAATTTCATTTTTATTCTTGAAGTTTTCCTTTTTTGCAAGTAGGCAAGAATTGAAATTCCAGAATGTTATATACTATAGAGAATATATTTTTTTTATTTAAATACAAATCCAAATGTCAACCAACCCTAACATTGTTTACTCCTCTACTTATTAAATCAATAAATAGTGTTAAATCTTTTGGAATTTGCTTGACTTTGCCATTTTTTAATGCTATTTTAAACACTTCTGT